GATGCCAGCAAGCGCGAGTTTAATCCAATGCTGAAATCAAATTCATAAGCACTCATGAACATTGCAACAAACTTTTGCTATGTATAATACACTTTAGACAATCTACACGCCAATTCACGACAATCTTCTTTCATACCTACTCCCAAAGTATGAGCAACTGTGGAATGTTCGAATACATTTATTATTTAGGAATTCAAACATGCAAAGTGAAACAATAGGTAAACAATCAACATAAGACAACAACTTTACTTATAAATAATACTCCTTTATTTAATCATCAAATGTCAATTACATTTATCTATTACACGTTTCGAAGCTATCTAATCTAAACTAATACTTACTCCCAAAGTATAAGCGGCTGTGGAACGTTCGAATACTCTTATTATTCAGGAATTCAAAACAAGCAAAGTGAAACAATAGGTAAACAATCAACATAAGACAATAACTTTACTTATAAGTAATACTTCTTTGTTTAATCATCAAATGTCAATTACATTTATCTATTACACGTTTCGAAGCTATCTAATCTAAAATAATATTTTCCTTTAGTCTAATGCTCCTAGCGTGCTGCAAGTGCTTAACCTTACTTAGTCCCTTCGTAAGGGGATCTGTTGGGTTATCCTCAGATGATACCCTTTTCACTACGAGGAGTCCCTCTTCCACCCGATATCGAATCAAATGATATTTTATGTCGATATGTCAAGATCTTCCATGATCCCTCGGTTCCTTGGTCTAGGAAACCGCTCCTTCATTATCACAGAAAATCTTTGTAGGCTCCTTTATGGCTGACACAACTCCAAGGTCTCTGATGAAGTTCTTCAACCACATTGCCTCCTTTGACGCTTCTCTCACTGCTATGTACTCTGATTCGCACATTGAATCAGCTACGGTCTCCTGCTTGGAACTTTTCCAAGTCGCTGCTCCTCCATTTAAGGTAAATACCCATCCCGAATGAGAACGATAGTTATCTCGTTCAGTCTGAAAATTGGCGTCACTGTACCCTCGCACCTTTAAGTCATCACTCCCTCCGAGGACTAGAAACCATTCCTTGGTCCTCCGAAGGTACTTAAGAATATTCTTGACTGCGGTCCAATGTGCTTTGCCAGGGACTCCTTGATATATGTTGACCATGCTCAAAGCGAAGGCCACATCAGGGTGAGTACAAGTCATCGCATACATGATCGAGCCAACTGCGAAAGCATAAGGTACTCGGCTCATCTCTGCTATCTCGACTTCGGTACTCGGACTTTGAGTCTTACTCAACTTGGCATTACCTTGGATTGGTAAATTCCCCTTCTTGGAATTCTCCATACTAAAACGTTTTTAGTACCTTGTCCAAGTAAGTATTTTGACTAAGTCCTATTAGTCCTTTACTCCTGTTTCTCATTATCCTTATTCCTAGAATATAGGCAGCCTCTCTGAGGTCCTTTATAGCGAAACACTTCCCAAGCCAGGACTTGACTTCCTTCAGCGTCGGGATGTCGTTTCTTATGAGTAGTATGTCATCGACATACAATATGAGGAAGCTAACTATACTCCCCACTGGCTTTGACATATACACATGATTCATCCTCGCTTTGAAGAAAACCAAACTCTTTGACTTTCTCATCGAAACAAAGATTCCATCTACGAGATGCTTGTTTTAGTCCATAAATGGACTTCTCAAGCTTACACACTCTATTGGGTGCTTCATATCGACAAAACCCTCTGGCTGATTCATGTAAACATCCTTAGCCAACTTTTCGTTAAGGAAAGCGGTTTTGACATCCATCTTCCATATCTTATAGTCATGAAATGCATCAATGGCTAGCATCACCCTAATAGGCTTTATCTTCACAAATGGTGAGAAGGTCTCATCATAGTCAACTCCAAGAGATTGAGTAAAGCCCTTCACAACCAATCGCACCTTATAAGTGTGTACCTTCCCATCCATGTCAGTCTTCTTCTTGAAGATCCACTTGCACCGGATTGTCTTACGACCTGGCACATTGTCAACCAAATTCCAGACTTGGTTGTCATACATGGACTGAATCTCATTGTCCATAGCCTCTTTCCATTTTGCAGACTCTGGGTCTGCCATGGCTTCCTTGTAACGTTGTAATTTACTTTTTAATATAAATCAGTAACTCATTGATTATGTTACAAATCCAACTTGGTACACATTTTTTTACTTTTGATCATGTGTATGGAAGCATTGGAACTCATCATCTTCCATGTTTGAAGAGTGTGTTTCTCCTATTGTTGATGGTTTATTTCAAGGATATAATGCTCATGTTTTAGCTTATGGCCAGGTTTATTTATTTATTTTATGTAATAGAGACATATTCAATCTATGAATGTTTTATTCAACAAGATTGAAAGTTTAAAACATCAAATAGAATTCCAATTGCTAATTAATCATAGTCACCAAATGGGAAAGTAAACATTCCAGGAAGCCACCAGTTTATTTAATCAACAATATAAGAGAGCACTATTTAGTCTAAGCATAAAACATTCACAGGAGTATGTAAATATAACAACATAAAATAATAACAATACCACAATTTCATCCAGAACAAACCAACACTCACTAATTGAACAGTCATAAAGAAATCCCCATTTATTATAAGTAGTAACAGAACCATGAAACATGGCTGGGGTAAATCGAGAAAAGCAAAAAAATAAGGAAGAGGCAAACAAATAAACTTGTTCACAGATAGGCTTGCTGAAGAAGAAAAAAACATGAACACAATGTACTCGACTAATGGCAGCAATGAAGCAGAAAAAATGGAGAAAATTAGGGTGACGGAGAAGAAACTGAAACCTGGTAGCAGATTGCAAGAAGGATCGCCACTCGTGGTATACAGATGTGGAAGAGACGTCGTTTTTTTACGCCTGTTGTATGTGTGAAGAAGAAATCGCTATTTATGGTTAAGGGTATATTGGGAATACGTTGAAATTCATCTTCATCAGTGATTCTTTTATCTCCAAATCACTTCAATTTGGGAGGAAGATTAGGAGAGAAGTTAATCCTCCACAATCATTTCCTTTCTTTCCAAATCATTCCAACCAAATAACTCGGGAACACGATCGACATCAACTTTCTCTCCGGTTCCCTCCCTTTCTCTCCACTTCACTCCTTAAATTCCACTAATAAGGTGTAAGTGTAGTTATATCATAATTTAAGTTAGGAGAAATATACACTTTGATCTAGTCCAAGATAAGGACTAGATTAAAAAAAAAAAAAAAAAAAAAAAAACAAAAACAAAACAAAACAAAACAAAAAACTAGCCAGCCCCACAATTATTTCCTCTCATTCTCTCATTCTCTCGGTTCTTCTCTTTCCCAACCTAGAGTTTTTCGTTTTTTTGCCAAAGGAAGAAAAAGAAGGTTATCATTCTTGGGGTGCTTCCACATTAGAGGAGTTTTGATTTGAGCTCTTCATCATCTAAGAAGAAGCAAAGATTCAACCCACATCAAAAGAAAGATATATCATTCGACCTCTTCTCTATAGGATTAATAGTTTTGTTGCAATAAACTGTTGAACTTATGATCCTTGTGGAATATGATTTTGTTAGTTTGCTTCTCTTTGCATATTTTAATTGTTATAAGATATCATCATATTCCAACAATTAAGGCTTTCTTGGAGAGAGATGGAGTGAGAGGGGGGGGGGGGGGGGGGGAGGGAGACCGACTCGAAAAATACTCAAGATCGAATCGGTTGGAATCGAATCGAGCTCGAGTAAGCTTAATTATATTTATATTGTTACCATCATGTTTATTCATATTCCATATATTCTAGCCGAGTCGAGTCAAGCTTGTGATCTTATTTATATTTATATTGAAATTTATGTAGTTTTATTGTTTTAATAATCAATCGAGTCGATTCAAGTCGAGCCAAGCTCAAAAATCTTGGTTATTTTATTAAGCTTAAGCCCGAACTTGAAAATAAAGCTCGAGTATTTTAGTCGGGTCGGGTTTCGAGCTTGACAATGCTCAACTTGATTCGGTTCGGTTACACCCCGAGAGAGAGATATATATATATATATAGAGAGAGAGAGAGAGGTATTATGGGTTTTATATATTTTTAATTGTTTAAAATTTTAAATAATATAAAAAATAAATTAAAGGGCATAATAACTATTTCAAGTGAGGGAAGCAACCCGCGGGAAAGAGGTGGGGGGACGGGGTGCCACACTTTCTCTTCATGCTATTGGACAATTTTTTTTATGTTTTTTAATATTTATAAAATTATATATCTATTAAAAAAATATAAAAAATATATCAAAGTTCATGGTTTTTAATTCTCTACAAAATAAGTATAATATATGTATGAAATATATTTAAAAATAAAAAAAATAATAATAATAATGGGAGCTTCCCACTCATTCATTGAGTTTTAGTTGAGGGAAAGAAAAATGAGGAAAAAAAATAGTGTGGCCCACAAAAATGAGAGAAACATCTTTCCGATATCCTCCGGTATTACATCCAAATGGTTATAATTTTTAAAAGGAAAATTGTCAAAAAAATTCTTAATATTTTCAAAAAAATTACACTTTTATCCAAATATTTTTTTAACATAAAAATCTCAATTATTTGTAAAAATACAATAATATGTTATTTTCTTATTATTATTATTATTATTATTATTATTATTATTATTTTGTAAATTTGAGTCAAAATGAAATAATGTATTTTTCCACAACATTTTTAATATCTAAAAACTTAATTAAATTTCATTTTGAAATGGTGTGATTGGCTAGAGGCTTTTTGAATACAAACTTACAAATAGGCTTTTTCAATAAACTATTTCCTTTAAACACTATATTTAAAATTAAAAAAAATAATAATAAAAAAAAATAAATAAATAAAATACAAAATACAAAATACTGAAATAGGAGAGATATGCAACGTATCAAAATAGGGCATTCTTATTGGTCATCCAATATCACCTTATCTCACTTACCCACTCCCACCTCCACATAATCTCTTTTCCCCCTCGTTACATCTCCCACCCTCACAAACACCTCACCATCTTCATCCATCTTCAATCTTCAATGGCCATGGCTGCACAAGCTTCTCTCTTCACCCCAACGCTTTCAAACCCCGTTTCTCCATGGAAACAATCCTCCTTCACCTCCGTGAAGCAGCTCAAGCTCACCTCCCGTACCTTCACCATCAGGGCAGCAGCCGACGAGGTTGCCACCCCCACTAAAGAAGCTCCAGTCGGATTCACCCCACCGGAACTCGACCCCAACACCCCATCTCCCATCTTCGCTGGAAGCACCGGTGGATTGCTCCGAAAAGCTCAGGTAGAGGAGTTCTACGTCATCACATGGGAATCCCCCAAGGAGCAGATCTTCGAGATGCCGACGGGAGGCGCTGCGATAATGAGAGAAGGACCTAATCTATTGAAATTGGCGAGGAAGGAGCAGTGTTTGGCTTTGGGAACTAGATTGAGGTCGAAATACAAGATCAAGTATCAGTTCTACAGGGTGTTCCCAAATGGTGAAGTACAGTATTTGCACCCTAAAGATGGGGTTTACCCGGAAAAGGTGAACGCCGGCCGACAAGGTGTGGGTCAAAACATGAGGTCGATCGGAAAGAACGTTAGCCCAATTGAAGTCAAGTTCACCGGCAAGCAACCATATGATATATGATGGATTTGTGATTATGTACTTCATTTCGTAATTAAAAAGATGCTTTTTTATTTCATGTTTGTGTGTTTTAATTTTAAAGCGAAGATTGTTCCACGAATATGTCAATTAACACCCCATATCATAATATAGAACAAAATATTTTGTAATAACAATGCTTTTACTCGGGTATCATTTCTATCGAAATGGTCATATAGGTTACAAATAAATAGAAAGATACCAATGAAAATGAATCCTCACATCCAAAGAAAAATGGCACGTAGAGATCCACTTTGTTGCTTCTTCACGTTACTATTTCTAGATCTCGGACTTGAGTATTTAACACAAAGTTTGGAAACGCTTGAGTGATCTCCCTATTATTTATTGTATAAGAAACAAACAAAACCATGAGTTGTATATTACCTTTTCATTTCATATAAATAAAGATTTTTGATAATATGAAAATATTTAATAACAATCAACATGCATGTAAGAGTTACCTAAGAAGGGGAAGAGTCATGTTGTTGAGAAGGGATGGATACTTTGGTATGAATACCTTCCACTCTTCTAAATCTATCTTCCCATCGTCATTAAGATCTGCATCCAAAATGGTCTAACCAAATTCGTGAGAAAAAGAGTCAAAATTGAAGACTAAAAAAGTCAAAATAAACCCATGATTAATCTCTCTCTATACCTTATCCAAGATCGCTTCAACTTCATCATTTGATAAATCCACATTAATTTCACTCAAAAGAGCCAACACCATCTCCTTCAACTTCAAATTTTGAAGTATTTCCAAGATCAGGATTGATTCAGTTTAAAGTCAAACTTTGACTAAATTCCCACACTTTATTATGTTTTTGCTTACCTCGTCTCGTTCTATAAAGCCATTGTGCTTCAAATCATATAATCTAAACATGACTGCAATAAGATTATCAAGTGTAATTAGAGACAGTTTTGACTTTTGAGAGTCAAACAAATTGTTTTTTTTGGTGTATCATACATTCAATTTTGACAGATTCGGGAGCATCAGGATGGAAAATGCTTAGCGAACGAACAAATTCGTCAAATTCAATAACCCCATTTTTCTTGATGTCAAATATATCAAAAAGCTGCAATATCGGATAAAAATTCAATCATTTTGATTTTTTTTTTGGAAGAAACCGAGAAAATTGGGAAAAATGTTTACTCACACGATCTGCCAACAGATTGTGCGTGCTGCTGTCGCCGAAAAGCGCAAGCCTGAACTCTTCCTGTACAATGAAATGGCATAAACACTTGAAATCTTTTCTTCGATATTAAAGTTAAACAATTATTTAATATATACCTTGTGAATAAGACCATCTTCGATTATGGCATGGCTTAATCGCTCAAAAAGATCGTATAATGCCTCGATTTCGTTGATGGAAACTGTGAAACAAAACAGAGTAAAGCGATCAGATTACTTCACCCGAAAATCTTGATTACAAGTATGCACGTTTTGGTACTAACATGATGTCTCGGAAGCAAGAAGAGCGAAGTGGATGATTCGTCGAGGGTTTCCAATTTTCCTCAAGAAACAGCAACATTCTTTTATGGACACAGGCATGGTCGAGGATCGATGTCTATGCGCCTGTAACTCGACACAACAAGAACAAAATGCATCTAAATACCACTTAATGAATCACAAACAACAACTAGACTACTTCATTTCGGGTCTAAATGGATCCGATCCATTTGCTTTTCATCGTTCTGCGTTCTTTGGGTCTTAGTTTATAGTCGAAATTATAACGTGAAGTAAAAGGAAATGGAGGAACTTGTTCAAATTAACTACTTTCATCAATCAATAATGAATTAACAGCCATAATCAGACTGCATTATCAAGATCCCAGCATTGGGGCACTGTAGAAGCTTTGACTTTCTAAATCCATCAACACAGAACAAAAACACACACTGTATGCAGATTTAGATTCAGATTCAGATGCAGACCTGCTATTGGAGATGGTGTCGATCAAAGAGGGAAAACAAGATTGAAGGTGAACTTGTTCAGCCTGATTACTTTGATTTGATATGTTTGTTTTTCGAGGACTTTTAAGGCTGGTTGTTCCTGATGAAATCTGTAAACCCAAATTTTTAATCTTCCACCGGTCGTCCCGCAGATTTCGAATTTTCGATATAAAAAAGATTCCGCATTTACTTTTGAAGCTTATTTCAATAATTCAGTTTTAAAATCAGCAACGACTTTTTTTAGTTTGACTTTGTATTTCATCATTCAACAATCTCTTCCCTCCAAATAAAATAAAAAATTAAATATATTCGTATTTGTTGTTCTTATGAATTTTCTTTTCCAGTTAAAATAAAGTGTTTGTTGCGTTTCACTTTAAAAATAGTTTCATAAACTTGAAAAATATGACAGAAGATTTTAATTTTTGAAATAACATAAATATTTTATATCCACCAATGATCTTATTATAAGTTATAGAAAGATTAAAACACCAACCAAAGAAGATGTAAAGAAATAACAACATTTGTAATTCTTTGAGTTCTCTCGAAAGGCTTGGAAGTTGATGAAAATGTAGAACCTTTGAGACACCAATAATGAATCAACTCGAGAGGCTTGTAAGACTAAAAAGTTACAACGCAAGATGGTCGACTTAGTGTTTGTCCGTTGGAAACATACGAATGGGTCAAATCTCACATGGGAAACAGAAAGTGACATGATGAGTCGCTACCCACATCTGTTTATTGATGCATGATTCCAGGACGGAATTATCCTAAGGGGGAGAGAATTGTAACACTCTTGTTTTGGGGCTAAGGTTAGTATAATAATGTAATAGTCAAGTCAATCATTGTAACATATTTTGAAGTAATAAAGAAAAATTATGTGAATTAGTGAATATTATGTGAAATATATGATTTTATATGCTTAAATACTTGTTTATAATGATATAATAAATGAAAAATAAAAATAAGTGTCAAAAATAAAGTATTAGATAAACCCGATATCTATACATAAAGTCGTAGTGGTCAAAACAAGAATTTTGGATATATAAAGAACATCGAAATCCGAGTTATAACGAAGAAGTTATGACATGTCGAAGTTCCGCGACAAAACCGGCACTACATTGTGTGACGTAAATAGTGAATTTATGATAGATGACTTTTTAGCCTTAGCGATCTAAACAAAAGTCGTATTATACATTAAACTGAGAGTATGCATAAAAAGAACGCCCAAATCTGACTTCGTATGAGGAAGCTATGATTTTTCTAATATTTGGCATAGCAGTATACAATCCAAAATTCGAATTTTAGATCGAGCGGTTTTTGGCCAACGTCACCTAAATGAGAAATAAAGAACTCATTAATAGGATCTCAACGATGAAAAGACAGATGAAAACGGAGTCCGTATGTAGAAGTTATGAATTTTACGCAATCATTTGACAGTATAATCTTCTTATACTGTTAAATTTAAAATCGTTCGAGAATTAGCCGACGGATTCAAAAGGAGAGTTGTAGATCTTATCTTTACATACGCATAGATATAAAGAATGTCGAAAAAGGAGCTCGTATGCAAATGTTAAGAATTTTTTAAGATTGGTTGTTTTACTTGCACCTAGTGCCACGTGTCAGCACCAGACAAAGCCTTGGAGCCTATGCAAGACCACGACGTGGAGAGAAGCTCCACGACGTGAAGTCTCTCTAGGAAGCCTATAAATAGAGGTGTGGGGCTGCCTCATTCCTCACAACTTTTCCTACTTCTTTCTCTCTCTAAACACTCTCTAACACCCCAACCCCCCCCCCCCCCCCCAAAGCCTAAGGTACCCCTCTAGCATGAGAAGGAAGCCCCGGAGCTCCCGACGGATCTGAGAAAAAGAGCTTTTCGGCTCGGAAATGCTGCTCCAACGAAGCCCGATTTTTAATAAAAACCCGATGTAAGTGAGATACGCGTACCATTTTAAATATAGCTTATATATAAATATAATATCGTTATTATAAACTTATAAATAAGATTTATCAGTGATTCAAAGTCGTTATACTGATTAATCTACTTAAGGGAATGATGTTTAGGCTGTGATTTAGTGAGGTGTTTAAAGTGGTATTTCCAAACAGTATACTTCGTATACCAAACGGACCCTACCTCTGATATGATCCTACCTGGTTGTTCAGTACTTGATAGATAATGACGTAGACTTTGAGTTAATGACGAATCTAGACTTGTGACAACCGTCGAATTCTGGTCAAGTCGAAGTTAACCAAAGTCAACAGGTCAAACCGTTAAACTCAATTAGTTCTTATATGATAGGGTTATTTTATGTTTACTAGTGTACAACTTTCTATCATAATACAAAGTGTCACTCAGAAGTTTCAAATGTTCAGAACTTTTAAACCCTAAGCGCAAGAGAAACAAACGATCGGGTAACACCCGAGTCGAACAACACCTGAACCGGGATACCGTTCATATTGAATGATCCTAAACAGATCATACACATAACATATCAAAATCACAACAACATAACATAAATAAATAAGAGAAGAAACCGTACTCGTCACCACATCGGGTGCAGCGCGTGCCTCCTCGGCCGTCAACTGAAATGCTCGGCTCCGCACCACTAGAGCCTATACCTTGGCCTTTCGGCTATCCGTAATCCGCAGGGTTACCGGGGCTGGCGCCTTCACTGGCTCTGTTGCTGTTAAATGGGGGCAATTGGTCTTCTTATGGCCCCTCTGGTTGCAGTGGAAACACAACAACTCGAATGTTTGGATAGTGGGTGTAGGGGCGTTACAATCCCTGCTGAAATGCCCCGTCTTGCCGCACTTGTAGCAGCCCGACGATCCCAAACTACACGCCCCCTCGTGTGGCCTGCCGCATTTCCTGCAGCAGCCTTGTCCTCACTGGCCTTTCGGCCTACCATCTGATCCCTTGGGCTTCTTCCCCGAAACCCCAATCGTCTGCCCCTCCTCTACCTTCCTCTTTCGGATGTGCTCCAAATCAATATCCTCACCCTTGCCCTGGAAATCATGGAATCTAGGGTAGAACAAGCTGAAAAACTAACATGCTCCTGAATGTCGGCTCGCAGCATGTTATGATAGCGGATCCTCCTCATGTCCTCATCTCCCGCATACTGGGGCATCAGTAACGCCCTCTCTCAGAACTTGGTGGTGATCTCCGCCATAGTATTCATAGTCTATCTTATATCCAAAAACTCCCTGGCCAGCTGCTGAAGCTCCACAGCTGGCGCGAACTTACTCCTGAACCAAGTCACAAAGTCTGGCCATGTCATAGCCTCAATAGTCGAGGATCCCAGAGAGTCACCAATCTTTGGCCCTGTCTCTCAAGCACCCTGTTGTGTATCTCACTTTCGACCCCTCGGGGCAGAAGCTGGTGAACTGTGCAGACTCAATGTCTCCAATCCACCGTCTTGCAACAATGAGGTCCTTCGCCTCATGGAAATTCGGCGCACCATTTCCCTTAAAGTCCTTAAAGGACAGTGCGCGTGATCCCGACTGGCTGGTCGCCATGTCACTCCTAAATTCCCTAAGGCGATCCTCCATCAACTCGATAATCCCTTCCTTGATCGACCCAAAGATGATCGGGGTCGCATCAAGGATGCCTATAGTAGTCTCGGACACGATGAACTCGCGTAGCCTCTCATCCACTGGTTCGGAACCTAAACCCGAACCTGATCCCTCTCCTGAACTACCAACTGTTGGCCTTGAACTACCAACTGTTGGCCTTGAACGTAGCACGACCATTCTGCAATACATAATGACAACTAAGGGTGGCAAATTGTGCTATCGTTTCGTGTTTCTGTCTAACACGACACGACACGACAATGTTTTTTGTAACACGAACACGACACGACACGATGTCGTGTTTTTTTTAACTAACACGAAAACAAACGAAGTAAAAAACGACAAACACGACACGACACGACAAATATAACATATACTAAAAACTAGTTTATTTAATGAATAATTTATCAAATAAAACACGATAAAAACGACAAACACGATAAAAAATTACTAAACCGTGTCAATTTCGTGTCGAATTTCAAACACGAACACGACACGACACGACATCGTGTTTTTTATAGCTAACACGAACACGACACGAACACGAATTCAAATTTTAGTTTCGTCCCAATTTCGTTTCGTGTCGTGTATTTTTGTCGTGTCGTGTCATAAATTGTCACCCCTTGACAACTTTAAGTGATACTGATACATCTAGAGGGATCACATCTATCACAAGTTTCCTGGTCTCGTCTCAGCCTTCCTCGACTAAAGTACGGATCCTCTGCTTTCATAGTACAGTTCCATACTACCTTCCACATATATCCGTACTTTTCTCAAGAACTGCCTTGACTCCACCAAGTCCATTCTACTACTACTGATCTTTGCTACTCCTATCCTACGCTTACCCTAGGGTTCCTATAACTCCACCCAAACCAGTCCTCAGCTGCTGAAGGCCTCTTTGCAATGCCAATTAGCCACCATATTGTGACATCCCCAAAATCACGGCTAGAAAAGACCGATTTTGTTTATGCTTTATAAAAATAAGAGTACTTCATTTTATAAAAAGGTTGCGGAATTTGTTCCCAGAAAAACATGATAAATACGTTATTAAAACTTTTTCAGAGAAACGTATTTTATTCATTTCAAAACGTTTGGGATGTCATTGTTAATACAGAAACATAAGCATAAACAGAACTTACATTTATTTACACTAGTGATCTACATCTGTTTAAATCTCTCAGTGTAAAGTGACTTCGTATCAGCACCTGTGATATAAATAAGCTGAGTGGGTCAGGTTTGGGAAACCTGGTGAGTACATAGGGTTTTCAACCCACAATAATATAATTATTATGTTTAAACAATCAAACAATCAACCCAATTACCCATCCCCATTATCTTCTTTAGTCTTAAGGATCTACCCTAAGAATCAGCTATTCCTCGTTTATTTATTCCTAAGGATCATCCTAAGGAATCGACACGAAGTCCATCATTACCAAGGCTTATAGAATATATATCTGGTGAACACGTAGTCCGAAACATCTGGTAAACACTTAGTTCAAAAGTAACTAGTGAACACACTTAGTTCAAAATACCTAGTGAACACACTCAGTTCAAAGATACGTAGTGAACACACTCAGTTCAAAGATACGTAGTGAACACACTCAG